ACAACACCCAGTGCTCATTATGACAAAGAATTATTCACAATTATCAAGTGGGATTTATTCCTGGGCTGCAGGGCTGGTTCAATATTAGCAACTCAATCAACATGATACACATTAATAAAAGGTTAAGAACCATATGATCCTGTCAACAGATGCAGAAAAAGCATTTAAATAAATACAGCATGAATTTAAAAAATTTTTTTTGAGAGAGAGACAGAGCATGAGTGGGGGAGGGGCAGAGAGAGAAAGAGGGAGACACACTATCTGAAGCAGATTCCAGGCTCTGAGTTGTCAGCACAGAACCCAATGCAGGACCTGAACTCACGAACCAGGAGATCATGATCTGAGTCGAAGTCAGACACTTAACTGACTGAGCCACGCAGGTGCCCCATGAATTTTAAGCTTAATTTTGACAGCGAGCACACAAGGAGAAAGGAGGGGCAGAGAAAGGGGGGGACAGAGGATCCTAACTCAGCTGGACACTGACAGCAGAAAGCTCGAGCATACATTCTTGATAAAAACACTCAACAAAGTAGGGATAGACGGAACATACCTCAACATCATAAAGACCATATACAAAAGAACCACAGCTAATATCCTCAATGGGGAAAAACTGAGAGCCTCTCTCCTACTGTCAGGAACAAGACAAGGAGATCTTCTCTCACCATTACTAATTAACATAGTACTGAAAGTCTTAGCCTCAGCAATCAGATAACAAAGAGAAATAAATGGCATACAAATTGGCAAGGAAGAAGTCAAACTTACACCTTTGAAGACAATGTGATACTCAATGTAGAAAACTCAAGACTCCACCAAAAAATTGCTAGAATGCATGAATGCAGAAATCTGTTGCATTTCTATACACCAGTAATGAAGCAGCAGAGAAATAAATCAAGGAATCAATCCCATTCACAACTGCACCAAAAACAAGAAGATACTTAAGAATAAACCTAACTAAAGAGGCAAAACATCTGTACTCTGGAAGCTATTGAAAACTTGTGAAAGATGTTGAATAGGACACAAAGAAATGGAAAAATATTCCATGCTCATTCATTAGAAGGACGCTGTTAAGATGTCTATAACACCCAAAGCAATCTACACATTTAATGAAATCCCTATCAAAATACCTGTACCACCAGCATTCTTTGCAAAGCTAGATCGAACAATCCTAAAATTTGTACAGAACGACAAAAGACCCTGAACAGCCACAGCAATCCTTAAAAAAATAAAACTAGAGACATCACGATTCCGGATTTCAAGCTATATTATAAAGCTGTAGTCATCAAGACAGTATGGTTATGGCACAAAAACAGATATATAGATCAATCAATGGAACAGAATGGAAAAACCAGAAATGGACCCACAACTATATGGTCAACTCATCATCTTCAACAAAGCAGGAAAGAAGATCTAATGGAAAAAAGTCTCTAGCAAATGGTGCTGGGAAAACTGGATGGGACTTGCAGAAAAATGAAACTGGACCACTTTCTTACATCATACACAAAAATAAACTCAAAATGGATGGATGAAAGACCTAAACCTTAAGACAGGAAACCATCAAAATCCTAGAGGAGAACACAGGCAGCAACCTCTTTGATCTTGGCCAGGGCAACTTCTTGCTAGACACATCCCTGAAGGCAAGGGAAACAAAAGCAAACATGAACGACTGGGACTTCATCAAGATAAAAAGCTTCTGGGGGCACCTGGGTGGCTCAACCAGTTGAGCAGACGACTTTGGTTCAGGTCATCATCTCACAATTCGTGAGTTCTAGCCCTGCATGGGGCTCACTGCTGCCAGCACGGAGTCCACTTTGGATCCTCTGTTCCCCTCTCCCTCATGCTCATGCTCTCTCAAAAACAAACAAACATAAAAAAAAAAACAAAAAACCCACAAAGATAAAAAGCTTCTGCACAGCAAAGGAAACAATCAGCAAAACTAAAAAGCAGCCTACAGAATGGGAGAAGATATTTGTAAATGACACATCTGATAAAGGATTAGTATCGAAAAGCCATAAAAAATTTCTAAAACACAAAAAAAAAAAAAAAAAAAAAAAAAAAAACAATAAAAAAAAAAAAAAAAAAAAAAAACAAAAAAAAAAAAAAAAAAAGTTGAAAAATACAGAACACATGAATGAACAAACACTTTTCCAAAAAAAGACATCCAGATGGCTAACAGACATGTGAAAAGATGCTCAACAACCCTCATCATCAGGAGAATACAAATCAAAACCACAATGAGATACCACCTCACACCTGTCAGAATGGCTAACATTAACAACACAAGAAACAACAGGTACTGATGAGGATGTGGAGAAAGGGGAACCCTCTTGCACTGCTACTGAGAATGTCACTCGTACAGCCACTCTGGAGAGCAGTATGGAGGGTCCTCAAAAACCTAAAAACAGAACTACCCTACGACCCAGCAATTGCACTACTAGGTATTTACCCAAAGGATACAAAAATGCAGATTCAGAGGGGTACATGCACTCTAATGTTAACAGCATCATTATCAACAACAGAAATCATTTTTATTTTTTTAATGTTTATTTATGTTGAGAGAGAGCATCTGTGCTCACGCAATCAAGTGGGGGAGGGGCAAAAAGAGAAGGAGAGAGAGAATCCCACACAAGCTCAGTGCTGTCAGCACAAAGCCCAACATGGGGCTTGAACCCACGAACTAGGAGTTCGTGACCAGAGTCAAAAATCAAGAGGCAGACACTTAAGGGACTGAGCCAATCAGGCACCCTGAAATCACTATTTTTAAAATGTCACATACTGGTGCAATAATTTTAATTAATTTCTTTTTTTTGAAGTACAGTTGACATACAATGTTACTATGTCGTACACCTGAAACTAATGTAATTCCACAGGTCTATACATTATTATGCTCACCACAAGTACAGCTACCATCTATACCATACAGCACTGTGACAGCGCCACTAACTACACTCCCTGTGCTGTACTCTCATCCTTGTGACTTATTAATTTCATAACTGGAGGCCTGTACCTCCCACTCCTCTTCATCCATTTTGCCCCTTCCCACTCGCACTCCAACCCCTCCCATTTGGCAACCATCAGTTTGTTCCCTAGATTTATGGGTTTGTTTCCGGTTTTGTTTGTTCATTTAATTTTTTAGATTCCATTTCACATATGAATGAAATCATATGGTATTTGTCTTTCTCTGACTTATTTCACTTAGCATAATACCCTCTAGGTCCATAAAAGGGCAGAGATTTTAGTTAGCAAAATTTCAGTTACTGATATCATTCAAGGTAAGTTTTTGCCTAGATTATACTCTTGTAGTAACTACAGCAAAAAGAGAATTCACAGTATTAGTAGCTTCATAAACTTAAGTTATACATGTAAAAGTATTTAACGACTGCCATTTTGGCCAGGTGCTAAATGAAATACTGATAGACAAGACAAAGTCCTTGCCTTCATGAAGCTTACACACTCAAAGTAGAAACAGAAAAAAAAAAAAAAACAACAGTGAGTAAACAAATAACATTTCATACTATATAGTAATTCCTTCAAAAAGGAAAATAACACAATATGAAGAAAGAGGAAGTGATTTGGGTAGAGTAATCTTAGCTAGGGTCCTTAGGGAGCGTCTCTCTGAGGAGGTTATATATGAGTTGAAACTTGAATAATGAGTAGGAAGCTTAAAGAGAACACAAAGTATGAAGATTCTAAGATGAGAACGTTGAATATCAGCTCTTGAGTTCTCAAGGGAAAGAGCCATATTTAATCTCTATACAACATGTATAAGAGTATCTCCCACTCAAATTCAATAGAACTTATTCAAGATAATTCAGTATAATGGAATTCAATTCAGTAAAATATTGTTTTAGAAAAATCTTTACTGTTTGAGATCATTATGAATTAATCTTCAAGGCAGACAAGACAGAACCGTTAGATAAAGTGAGTAAAATCTCTGGGATTTTGTAATAAGGTAGAAAGAAAAAAATAACATGTAATCATTTTTTAGAAGTGCCTTTCAGGTAGATAGTTTGACAAGCATAAAGTTTATCAAGCAAATTCTATCAAGAGAATTCTGGGTTCAATCTGTCCTCCACTCCTAAAATTTAGTGCTTTGCATCTACAGTATTTCTAATTTATGGTGTGCAAGAGAGTGCAACTATACAGTCAGGGTGCACAAGGGACCGGGAAGTGGATTTCAGTTCAAAAGGAGCTGTCCATTCACCAACAGGCTGAACATCAGTGAAGTGTTGGGAGACTATAAAACCATCCTCCAGGGTATTACAGAGATAACTTACAGGAGAAAGTTACTGGTGGAACTTCATGACCTCAGAGAACTGTTCTAGTTCCTTCTCTCAACCTGGACATCCATCCCTTTACACTCATTACGTAAAAGCCCCCGAAAGCAACCAACAGGGTGGATTTGTGAACGCCACACACATCATACCAATAACAAAGGATTAACAGACAACGTAAGTAAGGGGAACGTAGTAATTTGTTCATCTCAGTAACTGAAATTTGAGTTACAATTTTCAAATAATACTTAAAACAGCACAAAAACAGGCAGAAGCGGCGCGGTGAAAGTACACAACGACTTAAGGTGAACAATACCAATGCCAATTGACTTGACTTCATACAAAAGCACGACAGAAAGCGCACGGAAACCCCTGAGAGGGGAATCCAAGCGGAAGCCCTCCTGACTCAAAACACCGGAACAGATGGTGACAGCTGAGTTAACCCAGTAAGGACAAGGGGGAAAGCTTCGAAGAACAACGGGTGCGGCAGGTCACCTAGAGGGTGCCCAGGCGCGCCCGCACGCCAGCACTCCCGGCCCTTAATGCGTCAGAAGGTCGGGAGGGACCCGGCGCCTGGAGGAGTCGGCCGCTGACACCAAGGGGACCTCAGCGGCTTGGCACCGCCCAAGGCCGCCGGGTCCGCACGCTCTAGCCCTTTCGAGAAGACCCGGAGCACCCCTCAGTGCGGCAGCGATCGCTGCCTGAGGGGAAGCTAGCCCGTGCGCTCACCTTCCGGCGGCGGCTCCTGCCGCTTTCCGCGGGACAGGAAGGCCTTGGGCAGCAGCAGCGACACAGCCAGGACGATCCCCGAGGCCAGGGCCACCCTCTGCACGGTGGAGTACGCCATGGCCGCCGCCCTGGCCACAGGTGCCGACGCCAGCCGGAACCGGAACCGCGGCGCCGGCAGCCTCCTCCGACCGAACCGGGGTTGCGCGGACGGCGCCGCGAGAGGGACAAGCGCGCCAGGCGCCCGCACCGCGCTCGCAGTCTCTGTACTCGCACCGGAGCCCTCCCGTCTTTGCCAATTGGAAACCCCTCCCTCTCCGTGTCCCACGCCCAGGGGTGCGTCCACCCGGCTGCACGATTGGCGGTTCCGCCATTCTGCCCTGCCCGCTCACCGCCTGCCGGGCCGCGCCGTTCGTCTCCTTACCGCCGGCAGCTCCAGCTTGTCGCAGCTGTTCTCCGCTTGTAGCCAAGCGGGCGAATGCTAAGACGCACGCCTACTCCTCTCCCTCCACAGAGTAAAACCTTTCAAGAACGCTTTTTTATCCTCGGCACTGCCATCCGACTTCTATGACCTGAAAGCCCTGAATGACCTGGTCTTAGCAGTGCTGCATCCAAACCAGATCATTTGCTCTTTCCGCATCATATTCCTTGCTTTCAGGGCACGTTGGCTTGTCCTGTTCCCTCTGCCTGGAAAATTCCTAACGCTATCTCCACCGGGTAAAAACTTCTCTGAAGAGCGACTGAAAAACACTACCTTCGTGAAACTTTTCCAGGCAGCCTCTCCTTCCTCTGTATTCCCACAGTGCTCCATTACTGCCTTTATTAATGTGTATTAGATAAATGAACAAGCATTTAATGAACATTCGGTTCTTATGATGTATCAAATCCGGAAATGGCACTACAGGGTCTGATGAATAAGATGGGTTTCTTTATGGGGTAGATAGGGATCTATGCAGAATATTTTCTGCATTTTCTGGCGTAGTCAGCTCAACTGGAAGGAGAGGGTCAGGAAAAGCTCCTGAAAGTACGTGAAATTTGTAGGAGTTTTTGAAAAATAAGTCATTAGACAGGTGGGAGGATTTAGAGTATTCAGGCAAAGGATGCAAAGAAAGCAAAGGCATGCAAGCCTCTGTGTTCCAAGAATCACTGGTGATTCATTTTGGCTGAGCAACAGGGTTGCTGACAGAATATAAAGTGATAAGACTACAAATATAAGCAGGAGCTAGATTGTGAGAAGCTTGGATAGAACTTCCAGTTCAACATGGTAGATGGAACACATCCGTTTATCTTTGCTTCCCCCAGACACCTCACAAAAATGAAAATAAAAAGATAAAGTGTGTCAACTACAAGACTAAGGAGAATGGGAGAAAATATGACAAGGGACAAGAAATGTCAACATTTTAAGATACAACATTATCCAATAGAAATTGGAAAGTCATGTATGTAATTTAAAATCTAGTAGCCACATTAAAAAAGTGAAAAACAGGTGAAGTTCATTTAATACATTTTGTTTAACCCAATATACTCCAAATATTATTTCAACATGTGTAGCACTAGTCAGTCACATTTCAATGGCTTTATAGCCATGTGTGACTAGTAGCTACCATACAATGACATAAAAAGTGAAGTACATGCAAAAGGAAAGCTCATAAGAAGCAAACTAATTTGTCCTCAGAACCTAAGAGGTCTTAAGAATTGGAGACGCTGAGTGTTCCTTTAAAGGAAGAGATGTAGAGTGGGGCTGCATAAAGGAGCTTTGGTTGAAAGTCTGGTTAGGAAGCAGGTGAGAGCCTCTAAATCTTGTTCCAGGTGGTTGCCCCCACCAGCATTGCTCAGGCATCATCATCCTTGATATCGTCAACATCACTAAAAGCTGTTGCGCACTTAATATGTTCCAGGTATTTTACATATCATAACAATTGATTCTAATAATTTTATGAACTAAGCAATAATATGTACCCATTTTACAAATAATAAAACCAAGAAACAAACCTTAAGTAATTCCCCCAAAGTTACGCAGTATGTCGAAACCCATTGTTTGAACCCAGGCTTGCTTACTCCAGGACTTAGCCGTTTCTTAACCACCAGTTTTACTCTCTGGAAACATGGAAGCTCTGGACTCATGGACAACAGGTGCAGTTTATGGAGGTGGTGACTGATGGGATAAGACTCCTAAGAGGTGCAGAGAAAAGTGCAATGACCCCCAAAATTATGGTTTGGATGACTGGATAGACATTGATTGCATATAACAGAATCATGAGAACAGATTAGTCCGGTTTGTGAGAAAGGCAAAGAGTTCCAATTTTGACTAGTTGAGTTTGAGTTCCATGAAATACCCATGTACAGCTACCCAGTGGATGTGTGAGTCTGAAACACAGAAGAGATGTTTGGGCTAGAAACAAATATGGAGGCAATTGGCCCATCAATAGTAAGTGAAGTCTGGGAGAAGATAACATTAGCAAGAGTACTCCTGTGATGAGAGGCCACAGTAGGAAACTTGGATTACACCATGATTTTGAAGTTCCCAAGTATGAGAACAGAAATAGGGTAGAAAAGATAGTGGTCTGGGTGTTAAAATCTTGAATAAGAAGTCACTGGAAAGTGAGAAGGTGACAAACAAAAGGTATAATGAATAGCCAGAAGACATGCTCTTCTAAAGAGTGGTAGGATTTGTGTTGGTTGTTTTGGGAGTCGTTTTAACAGCGGCAGCAGGCTCTCCGGGGAATACTACATGCAGAAACATGCTGGTGAGAACACAAAACTCTGAATAAATGCCTGCCCTTAATCAATCATAACTTGTATTCTTTATTTAATCATTTGTATTTTTTATTGTCCTGCATTTGAACAAACCTCTTTTCCTCCCGCCTGTGGTCCCACTGCCACGGAACTTGTAAATTGCTCCCTAGAAGCTTTCTCCTGTGTTGCTGGAGTTCTTATCCTTAGGCTAGTTACCTTCTAAACATTCCCGATTCACTTTTGTTACACTAATCTTGACATCCAATTTCAGCCCAGAGACAAACTGCTCATGGATCATAAGACCAAGAGCAGAGAACCTACCTTTCTCTGGTGTGTAGTAGGAGGCAGAGAGGAGGCTCTTCCAGCCATAAACCCCAAAGAAGGGGAAGACCTCTGTTTGTCTCCTTCTCCTTGGAATCTTCTACTCTGCCTTTTAATGACCAACAGGTGTGCCTGAAAGGAGGTGCTTGAGAGCCCACAGCTGGAGCCACTGACCTGAAGCTGCTGCCAGTGAGATTTCTTTCTCTCCGCCCCTTTCACAGCTGACCCTGCCTAATATAGAAGGCCCAAACAGATCTGAACCTCTTCCAGGAAGCTCTCCTGGACACTCCAACTCATGCTGACTCTTCTTTCATTGAACTGCTTGGACGCTATTTATCATGGGTTTGTTGGGTCTTGTCACCTGGGCAGGAACCCCAGGAGGACAGAATTATGTCTTCTGTCCGTAACATGACTGAGCACAGAACTGGTTCATAGTAGGTAGTTATGAAATATGACATTGCTGGTTTCCCATACACACTGATTTTGCCACTGCTCTGAGCAACTACACATCTTCCTAGGAATCAACAGTCAGAATTTTTTTGAAGTCACCCCAAAAGATATATAAACTTCCTTCCACTTATAAAATAAATAAGCCCTTGGGATGTAATGTACAGCATGGTGACTATGGTTAATAATAATGTATCGTATATTTGAAAGTTGCTAAGAGAAATCTTAAAAGTTCTCATAAGAGAAAGGGCACCTGGATAGCTCAGGCAGTTGACCGTCTGACTTTGGATCAGATCATGATCTCATGGTTCATGGGTTCGAGCCCTGCATCAGGCTCTGTGCTGACAGCTCAGAGTCTGGAGTCTGCTTCAGATTCTGTGTCTCCGTCTCTCTCTGTCCCTCTCCTGTTCATACTCTCTCTCTCTCTCTCTTTCAAATAAATAAAAACATTTAAAAAAAGTTCTCATAAGAAAAAAATTGTAACTGTGTGGTGATAGATGTTAACTACACTTAGTTTGATCAGCATTTCACAATATATGTAAATATTCAATCATGTTGTACACATGAAACTATCTTTTAAAACTTTATGTTCCATGACAATTTTAATATTGAATATATTTATTATTTAATTAAAAAAGACATGGTTAAAAAAAAAGAGTCACCCCAAAGAGTCTCATTTCAAAAAGTCACTAATTTTTTTCCACAATAGGTCACTCTATTCCATCCACCAAATTTGCCCCCTAGCAACCATGATGGTTAATTTTAGGTGTCAACTTGGCTGGGCCACAGTGTCCAGAATATTTATTCTGGATATTTCTGTGAGGGTGTTTTGGATAAGATTAACTAAAATCTGTGGAATTTGACAGGGCACCTGGGTGGCTCTGTTGGTTAAGCACCCGACTCTTGATTTCAGCTCAGGTCACGATCCCACAGGTTTGAACCCCATGTCAGACTCTGCATTGAGAGCACAGAGCCTGCTTGGGATTCTCTCTCTCTCTCTCTCTCTCTCTCTCTTTCTCTCTCTCTCTTTCTCCCACTCTCTGCCCTTTCCTCTGCCCCCCAATAAATAAATAAATAAACTTTAAAAATCTGTGGAATTTGATAAAGCAGATTGTCCTCCATAATGTGGGTGGACCTCACTCAATCAGCTGAAGGCCTGAACAAACAAAAAACTGGTCTCCCCTGAGTAAGAGAGCATTTTGGGGGTGCCTGGGTGGCTCAGTTAGTTAAGCATCTGACTTCAGCTCAGGTCCTGATCTCATGGCTCGTGGGGTTGAGCCCTGTGTTGGACCCTGTGCTGACAGCTCAGAGCCTGAGGCCTGACTCTGTGTCAGATTCTGTGTCTCCCTCTCTCTCTGCCCATTCCCCACTTGTTCTCTGTTCTCTCTGTCTCTCAAAATAAATGAATATTAACAAAAACGAGAGAAAGAGGGAGAATTCTGCAGTAGGAGGTCTTCAGACTTAAACTGCAGCATCAACTCTTTCTGGATCTCCAGTCTGTCAGCCTACCCTGAAGATTTTGGACTTTCCTCGCTTCTATAATCACATCAGTCAATTCCTTAAAATCTCTGTCTCTCTCTCTCTTTTCCCCTCCCTTCACCTCCCCTCCCCACACCCAGTCACATA